AAGAGGAGATTGACCGACTGGAGCACGGCAAGAAGAAGCTGCAGAGGGATCTGGATGAGCAACAGGAAGTAAATGAACAGCTGCAGAGTCAGCTCAAAGCTCTGAGAAGTGAGATCAGGTAAAATCACACCGCCGCGTCCAGAGGAAGTTCTCAGATCAGTGCTTCAGTGATTAAGATAACGTTATTTTTCCAATCCAGGCGAAAGAGTGCATCTGCTCCGCTGCTCACAGCACTGGACGATGATGACGACGATGACATCAGCACCGACGGGGAGACGTACTTTAGCTCAACGACAAGTTACAAGCGCTCCTCAAGTCAGGACAACATCCTGTCCACCTTTACTATGTGAAGACATTCCAGATGAAGACAACCGCTGCTTTTGGACCAAACAACTGGAGATGAGCTGTAGATGTTCTGCTGATGTCACTGCCTAAAGGTGTGTCAGTCCACTAGAGTCCTGTTGGTGACACTAGAATCTGTTGGATACTGAACCTGGGTACAGTTTTGATGCCCACACCTTCTCCTAAGTATTATTATTATTGAGCAGTTCTAAAATAATACATTTTTTACCCAGTTTTGTGGAAAATAAATTGTAAATAAATATAAATTTGACAATGATACATTCCATTACAAACTCAGATTAGCGTATTTCGTATTTGTCGATGATTATTTTAGCTTTAGCAAACTGATAATATTCTATGATGCACTGCAACATAGCAGATCATTGCTCCCTTTCTCCTTTTAAAGTTATTAACACTAAGTATGTTCATTTTACACACAGTAACGTGTCTTCTTTTTTTTAATAGTCCAGTCAAATATATGTAGTGTTTAAATGAAGATCAAGTCCAAAAATATGAAGTGTGCTTCAGGAAATCATTTTATTTATTTGTCCATCAATAGACAAAAAACCTGGAATCTGAGAGGTTTAAGGGAAATGTTACTAAAAGGATGGAATTTGTGCTCATTAATACAGTTTTATACAGTTTTATATCATTGAAGACAAATCATACTTTTATTTTGTAATTGACCACACATGTATTTCTTATATTTCTGTATATCTACTGGAAAATGTTGTGTGCCCTGACATTGATTTGTGACTGATTCTGAATTAGAGTAGAGCAGAAGTAGAAACAGAAGTGACATCAGAACCATTTCATATCTGAAGACGTCTTTATGCCGGACACCCTTCAGAGTGACCTTTTTAAGTTCTTCGTGATCTCATGTTTCTTCAGATGATAAAATGACAATCTTGTGGGGTTTTTTTCTACACTGTGATTTGCACTCTGATTTCAGTCCTGACATCAGCTCTAATGCTTGTAGAGAGGGAGATGGAATGACATCATTCCTGCGTCTACCTCTCAGTCTGTACACGCTTGTTTAAACATTTTCACAAATCCTGCTGAGACTCAAATAAATTTGCTGCCTTTTACTTTCATATGCTGTTCCCTGGATGAATACCATTGAATAACAATTCATACATTTTCAATGGCTAATTTACCAATAAATGTAATGAATAGTGGTCTTCACCTTTAGGACACTCTTTATTTAGGAAAACCACGACATTGGTTAGGTTTACTCCTCTGAGAATAGACTTCATCATCCAGTAGTTGTTATGCTACAGTATGTAAAATACACATTGCGTACTGTTCTATGTATAGACACATTTTCTTCTTTAAACAAATGAAGAGTATGAATAACTAAATCATTTCACTGATGTAATCATGGTGTATTTTTATCTATGAACAAACCTAAATGTCTCTACGACTGCTGCATCTACAGGCTCAGAGATGTCACCATTGTAGAATGTTATAGTTGAGGAGCCATTTTCAAAGGAAACCACAAACACACATTTTTAATCAATTCTCAAAATTGGGAAAATATTATTTCTTTTACCCAAGTGCGCAAGCTACCAAAAAGCAAGACAAAGAAGAAGAAAGAAACCTGACCGGTTTCAGCAAAGGCTTCAAGCCAACACCTCAGTTCGTCTTTGTGGTTGTGTGTCTCGTCCTTTGTCTTAACGGTCTTCCTCACGCTGCCTCAGTGAATGAACCTCTGTCTTCCCTATCAGTGGTGGTGATTAAACCTCCTCTCGTTTCCTTCAGGGTCTCCATTGGAGCAGAGCAGCTGTGTCAACATTAGCTCTGTATTTCGTGCTCAGCAGTTTGACATATTTCCTGTTGGACTGTATGAAGCACATGCATCCTGTGTTTGGGTCTGTTAACCTTTTGACCCTGAGCTGTGGACTCCCTCCGTCTGCAGGAACCTTGGTGAGAGTCAGGAGAAGGAGGTTCTTTTGGAAAGACCCTGCGGTCAGATTATTTCAACTGACCAGTGAGCAGCAGTGTAGGGAGATGAATGGATGAGGGCTGGTTGTTTTGAGTGTGACGGAACACTGGCAGGTCACAACCTCTGTGTGTTGCTCTTGTGTGGTAAAGACCAGTCAACCTTTCAAGTGCCACGGCATTATCTTTCTCTCACCCTCTTCTGTGTCAAACCAAGCAGTAAATCAGATGCGGGATGCAGGCTGAGGGATTAAGAGTAAAAGGTGATCATTCCTGGAATTCCTTCATGTGCTTGAATGAGTTCACCCAGAAGAAGAGCTGCTGGGAGAGAAGAGAAGTAAACAGCTGAGAGAACAGAGGGTTAGTGGGATTTCTTATAACGTGAGAACGATCAGCAGAGTTGAACACATTTTCTCAGAGTGATCAATTTCACTGCTGCAAAAAAAGTGGAATTACAAGTCTAATGTTTTGCTCCGGTGTTGGTGCCTTTGTCTTTCTTAAATGACGAAGAACTATGCTGCCCCCTAGCTGTTAAAATGAAAACAACACAATGATTGATGTTTTTTTGTGTGTTTTTTTTGGCCGAGCGGGTCAGAAATAGAAAAGAGTTGTTGTTATTAAAATAGTTTTGCACTCTCTTTTTTGGATGTATAAAATAAATATTGAAGAAATGAGGAGGAAAGATGTTTCTGAAGCAGCTGAAACTCGAGGGTTAAATTTATTGCTGCATTTGATGTTACATCATAATAACCCGATACTGGGGAAAACCAGTACCGCTGTTAGAGACAGCGGAGACTCCAGTACTAGTACGTGCAAGGAGCCGTACCACGAATCAAGACCAGAGGTGACTGACGGGTCATGATGTGGTTTCTATTCCATGATTCTGATTGAAAAAAGGAAGAAAGCAGGAGGAAGGAATTGAAGCCAATGATTTATTTACGTTTGAGCGAAACTTGACTAATTTACTTATTCAAACATAAGTAAATTAATTATTATTCTAACAAAGAACGTCTTTTGTTTGCAGATAACAGCTGAGTGTTATATAACTACAAAGCTTACTTCAATAATGATTGGTGTATTTGACCAAGTCATTGAGTCCAAGACTTCAGATCCGTGGTGAGTCCAGAAAAAGAGGTTTGTCCCTCTCAGTTTAGACCTTCGACCTTAAGTCTTCCATTAACATGGGTTATCTTGTGGCGCCCTCTGTGGAAAGAAACAAAGATCACCAATCTCCTCAATCCAACGAAACGTGATAGTGTGGGAATAATAACATACCATATTTCTGTATATTGTACCTTGAATAAAAAACAAGACACACTGAGTAGAAGTACTCCTCATATTAGTTCTTGCAGAACATTTTCTAAATGGCATTCTTAGAGTTTAGGCCTGTTCTTCTCTACAGTAATCTCCCAGTCTGGAAATAAAGTTTCGGAAACTTAAACAAGTTTGACTGTGTATCTGTAGTCACCAAACTACTTTTTTCAGAACGGTTACATTCCTCTTTGCCCTTTGTCAGTTGTTATTGTTGCGCAACAAACCTGCTCAGTGCTTCTTTAGTGAGGTGCTTTAGAAACACTCAGAGGTGAGTCGGGACACAGATACTGCACTGATTGTCTGTCATTTTATCACCACAGGCAGGTTTGTCTGTCAACAGCACAAGTGGCTTCTTCCTGTCCTTTAAACACAGGTCAGGTGAAATTCCAAAGATGAGGAACAGTGTTCGTTGTTGTCTTCAACATTCATCCAATGTCTAGGTATATATATATATATATATAAATACAAGATTATATGGACCTATTGAACCACATATTTGTTTGGTTTTTTTAGTTTTTTTGAGTGAAGTTCAAAAGTTGAAAAATAATTAATTGTTGTGAGTTTTGTAAATAAAAACAAAAACAAACAACCCATTCGGGTATGGTATACAATTTGATATGAATATTTGTTATATTTGTTTGGTTTGCTTAAGATGTAGACAGAGGGATATTAACAAATTACAGCTAATAATTAGATAATTAATAATGAAAAATAGCCATAATGGCACAAAACTAAGATGAAATGATGATGAAAAAATAAATTATCATAACACATTTTATGTAATAAAAATATGGTAGACAAAAATCTACAAAAGCGTAGAAAAAAGACTGATTGTATAAATAACTAATTTTTCTGCAAAGATTCAGAATTTCCAACAATTGCCCTTCATCAAGGGCAAAGAGAAATCCTGCTTTAAGAGAAATTATGGAGAAGAAACCTGTTTAAGAGACTGCTTTTTATTATGGCGCAGATCAATGAATATGTTGGACAGTCTGTAGACAGTCATTACAGACGTTTTTCTAATACAATACGATGAGCCCATTTATATAAAACATATGACATTTATTTTAAATTCTGTTTGATTTAGTCCTTTTTAGTCTTGATTGTTTCCAGTTAATGCAGCCGTGAACTCAAAGTGACTGTGGCGTTGGGAGCCTCTGAACGTTAGCTTGACAAAACGTGAACAACACAGTCTGATATGGAACAAGTCCACCTAATGTCCTGAGCTTAAATATGTATTCAATTCTTGACACATGGGTTGTGACGTGAATTTCTTCTTGATATTGGATTTTGCTCCAGGTCTGGCCTGGGTGACTCATCTACTGTAGGAGCAAAGAAAAAGCATTTGTTTGATGAAGGGCTACTCATTAACTACAGACAGCCTGTAAAAATACCTTTGACATTGTTCTGAGGGGTTTCTCTTTTCATATCTGCTGAAGAGTTTTTGACATTGCAGCAAAGAGCGGCTCTGGCTGAGAAACTTGAAAAGACTCTCCCCACTCAGGAAACCTGAGCCCCTCCACTCAACTCTCTCTCTCCCTGCTCTGAGACTCTGGTTTCTACGAAGAGGGAGTGACTGCAACCCATTCATGTCAGGAATGTGATCTGGTCGTCATCATGGCTGTCTGTCAGCATTTCTGACAGCCCCAGTGAGTACCAACTGTAGCATTTGTGGGACAGAAGGTGAAAAAACAAGAAAAACATTGAAGTTTATGTTTTTTTCTTTCTGTCCATTGATCGATATCCACTATCAACATCATCAATAATTTACAGGTTCTTGTAACTGCTGCAGCATGTGAGACGCCTCCTGCTGCTGCAGCATGAACACGGCTCCGCCTGTAATGAACTGTAACAACAGCAGTGTGACTGAGAGTACACATTTCAAACAGCACTCGAATGTACACAAATAAGAGGATGTTGGCAATACTTGTAAAAACACTAAAAACTCCAACAATATGGTGTGTGCTTTCATAAATCAATATAATGCTAATTGTTTGTTTAGCTTTCATTTCAACAAACATTTAATTTTTTTTGGGGGGGGGGGTTATAGCTGTGTTAGTCATTTTTATCAATCAACTTGGTTTCCTTTTAACAGAACTTCAGAGAATGGTTATTGACAATGTTTATATTAAACATGGAACTAATATTGGCCACAACTATTGTGGCTAAATTCAAAAACCTCCTTTGCTAACATTGCTTTTTCCTAGCTAACCCTTAGCTAACTTGATAGGTTTCATTTTCTTATGGTTGAATTTAGTTTAGTCTTTATGGCTATTTTACCAAACCTCTTGTACATTCTTTACTGTGTTAGCTAATTTATCGTTGCTTTTAGTGCATTAGTTTGAGCTTCTGACTGAAGTAGATTATCATAAAACTGTTTTAGCTTCCTTTTAAGCATTTATTCAATCTGTAATTTTGGTTTGGCTTTGGTTGGTGTGTAATAAATAAACACTTTTAAAATAGTGTGTTTTACATGGCAAAAGAAGCCTCGACACTTTACTCTACTAGTTAATATTATTTATACTTTAGGAGGTTCTTTTAGGGTTGTAATATTGATACTGAAACTGTGCTGGGCCTAAACAGGAAGTCCCTGCAGTGTGAACGGTAGCTCCTCCTGGAAGCCACTCCTGCTGATGATAAGTGTTGCACCTGTCCTGGCGTAGGTTGAGAGGACCCGCCCTGTCAAAGAGCTACAAACCAGAGAGGCAGGTGAAATGTGGACCAACAGGTCTGATGAGTAAAGTGAGAGACGGAGACAGAGTCAGAGGGAGCTGCAGAGATGTGGCTGAGTGACTGTCAAGCCTGTCAGTCTGGTGAATGTGACAGCAGCCAGTGAGGGATGAGAACAATGACAAATCTATGCTTGTGTTGCTGACTGTGGGACTGGATCACACCTGGTCACTTCCCTGACACCGAGAGGCCACCTCAGGACCCTGGGCTCCAGCAGCAGCTCCTGCACCACAGCGGAAATTCCCTTTCTGTTCCCCCGGCTGGAGCTGGGGACAGATGGTCGCTCCCAGACTTTGAGCTGAACTCAGGAAGGAGAGTGAGAGGAAGGGTGGGAGGAGGGCCAAAGAGGGAGAGGAAGAGAAGTGAGGAGTGGACACGAGAGGAGAAATGCTTCGCTACGGATCAGGACGAAACGTTTCCACCACCACCACCACAACAGAGGACTCTGCGGAGTCTTTAAGTGAGGTAAGATCTTCCAGAGAAGACACTGCAGCTCTGTCTCTGTCTCTCTGCTGCTTCTGCTTGTGTTTTGAAAACAGCCTAGTGTCCCCCTCCCCTCCTCTGTTTGTACCCTGCTGCTTTTACTCTCCCACCCTGCAGCCACTTGTTTCTTGTCTGAGATAAATGTTCCTAACCCCATGTTATGTTTTCATCCTGTTCCCTGATGTTGTGAAGGTTGATGTTTTTGGGTTGTGACCAGAACTGAACGGTCTGTCATGTTTATTTGGACAGATTAAACAGTCCTGGGAACTTGCATGTCCTTCCCATTGTTTGCTAATGATGACAGTACAGTCAAGTTTAGCAGAAGATTACAATGTGTTGGAAAACTATAAAATACAACTTAATTGAAGTCCTGCTTTAACTGGAGCTCATTTAAATATAACAGTGAACGTGTCATTTACATCTGCTTTGGTTGTACAAACAGGATTCAGTACTCCACTGGGTTCTGTCGAATACAGAAGTGATTTTCATGTAGACCAAATAAATTGTTCTTATTGATATGGTTTGTTTGTTTGTTTGTTTGTTTGTTTGTTTGTTTGTTTGTTTGTTTGTTTGTTTGTTTGTTTGTTTGTTTGTTTGTTTGTTTGTTTGTTTGTTTGTTTGTTTGTTTGTTTGTTTGTTTGTTTGTTTGTTTGTTTGTTTGTTTGTTTGTTTGTTTGTTTGTTTGTTTGTTTGTTTGTTTGTTTGTTTGTTTGTTTGTTTGTTTGTTTGTTTGTTTGTTTGTTTGTTTGTTTGTTTGTTTGTTTGTTTGTTTGTTTGTTTGTTTGTTTGTTTGTTTGTTTGTTTGTTTGTTTGTTTGTTTGTTTGTTTGTTTGTTTGTTGTCCTCAGAGGAGAATCAGGCGCCTCAGGTTGACTCTACACGCTGGAGACAATGGAAACAATGAGCCAAAAACAGCAAACTCAGAAACAGTGAGTCCTTTTTTCCACTTTCAACAATTAACCAAAGCTGCATCCTGCCATTGAATGTTGTTGGGAACCTGTAGATGTTTGCAGACAAGCCAGTGGTCTGTAACTGGAAATAAAACTATTGTTAGTTAGTTGTGGTTGAAAACACATGGTCATCTTCACACCACAGATGTGGAAACACTGGATTGTTATTCTTTTTTATATCAAAGGAAAACGGCGGATCGTCCAAGGTTTGGTCCACTTACATAATCCTGGCAGGAGGGTGTGTACATGTGATAGTGCACACTCAGCTGGAGCACATTTACTTCAAAGCTCAGCCATGGCTGTGTGCTGTCAGTCTCTCGTACACAATTGTAGAACATCAGAAACACCTGCAGTTCAGCAACATTCTCAAACACAGGAAATGTGAGAAAAACACACAGCTAGCTTTTTAACACGGCGTTAGTGTGAGAAGGCTAACTGTGAGAGTACGCTGCAGGGCTGCTTGTGTGTTTGCTGTAGGTGGCTCTGCTCCATCTTTGTTTGTGTTGAGGATCTGTCATCCACTGGCTGATGCCAAAGTTTCACCGCGAGGCTGAAAGAACTGGATATTTGACTTATTGTTGGCTCTGAGGAGCTGTTTGGTCTGTGTAATTAGAACAGTGCCATGGTTTATATGAACCTTGGCCATGGAGGACGGTGTTCATCAAGTTATCACACACACTCGACCGATAGCACACTGATGTAATCTAAATGAGTTTCACCATTTCACTGCTGAAACTGATGACAGGAGAGTAACACTGGAGAGTTACACACAGCCGTGCTACATGGAGACGTGTACTTCAGTGTGTATTCAGTGTCAGCGTCAGAAGCTTAGCAGGGTCTTGAAATATCTGAGCCATTCAGTACTATTTTATCTTCCATTCATCTCCCAGACTGTATTTATATATATATGATACGACCCAAGAAATATTCAGCCAAATTAATGTTTGTTTGTTTTTTCAGTCAGCTGAGAATGTTGTTTTTGTCAGTACAATACAGGCCTTTCCTTAGTTTACTTTAAGAAATGGTCTTCTCTACAGAGGCGGCCATGTTGGAACATGATGATTTCTCACTGGACCACAGTCAACAATCAAACACCTTTGTGTTTTATTAACAAAAAAAAATGGTTCAAAGTGTCCTATTCTGGACTGAACAGGAAAACCCAAATGTAATATCACCACTAGATGTTGCTAAATCCTGTGTAGTGTACAGTTCTGTTAAAGCACTAAAAGAATTTGGAATCCACTGTCTGGCTGAAACGAAGAGTGAAGCAGCAGGTTTGACAATAGAGGATTAAATAAATATGGTGGCCTTTGTTGAAAATGTCAACAGATTAGACAAGTTGTCCTCAAGGAACCTTTGAAATGACTTTCTTAACAAGTTTGGAAATAAGAAAAAAAGCCGGTGTCAGCAAAGCTGAGCAAGGACAAACAAACAGTCATGGATTTTCATTATCTGTTCATTTCAGTATACACTCATTCATGCCTGTTGTTTTGTGTTTATGAAAACCCTCTTCACCGGAGTTGGGGGTCAGACAGTGTATTTCTGCTCTGCCTCGGTGGGTTGTGACATCACGTGAGGTATTCAGAGTCACTGTGTTACAGTGGATGTTGATAGTTGCTCAACAGTGATGAGGGTTCAGGCCAGTCAACAGCAGACTTCTTAACTAGGGTGGAGTGCAGAAGGAGAAGAACAGGAGGTGGTCTCTGAGTAGACAGTAATCTCTCACTGCAGAGGACTTTCATTCAGGACCACTCCCACTCCTCGTCGTCCCTCGTTCTCATCAACAATAACACATTTACAATCAGACAAAAGTAAGTTTCACTGCAGATTATTTACATATAAACAGGCAGGTGATCGGCCAGCGTGTCACTGTACTTCCACTCACTGAAGGCTTGTGTTTATACACAGCAGTAGATGATTCAACCTTGGTGTGTTTATCAAACTGTTTAATCAGGGAGTGAATGTTAATTACACTTTATCAAACTATTGAAACTACCAGTTTGATCCTGAGATCGACCTCAAAGAACTTATTTCAAAACAACAAAACAGTTTTGATCTCCTATAAGCAACACTTGAAATTCATTTAATTATCCTGAGTTTTTATGTCCGACGTCTGACTGTTGAGTTTAATTAGTACTTCTACCTGAATCAATGTAATTAAACACTGATGTCATTAATACTTTAATGACCAAGTAATGAAATCAGTAATCTAAAAGACCTCTGGGTGGATCCCTGCTGGGAAATGATGATGTTTCTGTGGGGACTTTGCATTTCTTCCTCACCGTCCAAAAACATGCAGGATGAGCTTAATCCTCCTCACTGTCCAAAAACATGCAGGATGAGCTTAATGTTCAGTCTGAATTGACCATAAATATGAGTATGAGTCTAAATGTCTGAATAATAATAATAATAATAATAATAATTATTATTATAATAATCCTTAAGTGAGTGATATATGTACTATATACAGTATGTAAGCCTTAATAGCCTCAGTGTGTTGGGAGATCCTCAACAGCCACATGGAACTCCACTGGATTTGTTTAATCCAACATAAGGCTAGGGCATTTGTTTGGATGTTTCTGTGATTATAGGAAGAGAACAGGCTGAGACACAGCGTTGATTAAGGAAAAGGAACTACAACTGATACATCCTCACTCAGAGACAACCACAGATAGAAAGTTGGTTGAAGGGTGTGTTCTGCAACCTGAAACATTTCCGACAAACCCAACCAGTGAGCATGGCCTAGATGAGGTGAAACTAAACTGCACGTTGATACGCACTCTCACGCCGATGGCCACGCAGATGTACACGTTTGTTCACCTGCGGTGTTGAATGTCGTCTCTACAATAGCTGGAAGTCTAATCAAAGCGACAGCAGTTCAGACAAGAGAGAGAGAGAGAGAGCTGAGAGGGTCTTTGTGTTGCTGTTGGAAACGAGGAGCGAAACCAAGCAGTTGCGTTCCTCACAGTGCAGACTACAAACAGATCACAGAGGAACGGAGTTCAGATACCCTGACAATTATTGGATCATGTTCACTTAACTCACGTTGTCAATGACATCCTTGAATAGGTCATGACCTTGAGTAATACAAAGGAAGCCCTTGTGCTCTTTCAAACAGAACGACCTGACAGCAGCTGGTGTCACTAACCACAGGTTAAACATCTGTAAATATTGTTACTCTGACTCTCACGGGAACAGCAGCAGTGTCATCACCACATTAGCATGGCTGCTCTTCCCTCTCCCATCGACTGGAATTCATGTCTTTGTAGCAGTGGGCCTTCAGCATTTCTCAGCAGCGTGACTTCTGCAGATGAAGTAGTGCAGAAATGTGAGGCTCAGCTTTTCCACAAGACAACACTGGCGTCTTTGTTCTGCCTTCTCCTCATTCTTATCTCTGTGAGATGTGGAGGCTGCCGCCTCTGTCTTTGGGTAAAAGCTCAGAATATTTTGTTTGAGCAGACACTTTTAAACTTGAAGGATTGATTAAAGAGATACAAAGATAAATATCTATCTGTTTATCCTTTTTATTTATCTGTCAGGGAGGCTACAGATAAGCATGCCACAAAGTTGAAGTAGCGCCAGTCACGGTGTCAGAGTTAAAGATTTAAATTCATTATTATGGGTAAAAATTGTAAAAGCTCTGCTGGCACCACACTCTCCTCGAGCTGTTTTTCTTTGGTCAAAACTAGCTATATTATCTATTCATTTACTGTTGCTTTAATTCACAATACACACACACGTTATTTGTAGTCACATCTCAACACCCACCATGTGTTTGTGGATATAACTTCCAATCAAAGGCCAGACCAGGCCCACCCAGCACAAAACAGTAATTAACTGAACGGAACTGTAGACTGATTAGTATTTTTTTTCAGGACAATTAAGTTTTGAAAACAACTCTTGACATGTTCCACAAACCGCCCTAAAGCTGCACAGTGACATGACAGAAGTCCACCAACATTAGGAAGAATCAATTTAAATATACTTTTGTATATTTTTCTTGGCATTTTTCCATATTCATTATTCCATTATTTGGATTAGTCACAAATAAGAACCTGGTGGCTTTGTATTTGTATTTACAGCAATATACAGTAATTTAATAATAATAATAATAATAATAATAATAATAATGACTCCACAGGTACTCTGGGAATATTTAGATTCAATATGTCAAAAGTAATCTTCTATTTCCTTGTGTGTGTAAACATGCTTGGAAATAAACACAGATTCTGTTTCTGATTCTAATTTAATTTTTTGATTTCAACATTTTTTCCCCTAAAACATCTATAAAAACAAGTTTTTATACTGTACGGACATACTGTATATAAACCTAGTATCCACAGTGGAACCCCTGCTTGTGTACTGCGAAGTCACAAATAATGACTTCAGAGCAGTGTTCAATATTGGTTAATGGAGTTGATGTTGATGTTTCCTCTGCAGGCTGACAGAGACAAAGATGTCAGCGGAGCGTGGAAGAAGAAGAATGGGCTGATCCAAAGGCAGAGGCCAGCTGGCAGCGAGTCACCCCAGCAGGTAGACAGCAGCATCCAGTACATGAATAATAGGCGTGACACTGCGATACACGTGTGTCACTGACATCCCTCTGTAAAACATGACTCTGTGCGTGCACATGCTGGGCCGTCATTAATAATGTCCTCATAGATATTCAGTAGGGACAGATGCTGGTGGGTAACTGTAACAAAAGTCCTTATCTCCAGTGTATCTGCTCCTAAATATTCATCCACAGCGCTTCTAGAGGATTCTGTGAAAATGATGAACAGACAAAATAAGTTTCGCCAGACCATCAATTTTCTGCGTCCTGGTGCCCAAATTTAATTTTGGGTGTGCGATCTGTCTTTGTCACCCGAATTCTGTATATATGGTAAAAACTGGAGATTTAGTTCACGTGTTTTATTTATTTATTCAACAAATTTATGTTATAGGACAGAATAATAAATCGGGATGACAGTATTTGTCATGGCCACGTTATATTTAGTTCCATCAAACTTTGTTGAAATGATTTATATAAAACCAGTGGTTTTTTAAAGCCACTTAAAAAAATGGTCATATGCTAGAAAACACACAAAATAGGCCAAAAATAAAGTTAAAAAAAAGCTATAACTAAATGATAAGCCCTGAAAATATTAACTGAGGAAATTCAGAAAACTCTACCACAATTTATTCTTTTTTGGCAAAATACAATTAGTCAAAAGATGAAACAAAACTCCAACTAGAGCAGCAGTAGCTTAATGAAATTATATAAAATTATATCTGAACTTATTTCAAATATTTATGAACTATTTAAAAGGAACAGTCAGTGTTTTATCCTCCCAACCGCTAAGAAACAAATGTAAAACAGAAGTTTGCTTCTCAAACTCACTTTTCTTCCTGCAGTAAAACTGAATTATTAACTGACAGAATCTCTTAGCTACAGTCAGGCATATAAACTGTGCCATGACTACAATTGTGCTGTGCATCTTTTTTCAGTAGACTGTCTGTTAACGCTACAATAGAGAGAAACAGCAGCAGCTCATACAGGGTTTCAGAAACTTGACACCTTCCATACGCTGCTCTTTTTCTCGCTGCCTCTTACCAACCTCCTGTTTCCAGCTCAGCAGCAGCAGTGCTGGAAATCCCTGATCAGGTGCACATATGAAGGCATGCGCAGCCACATGTAAACGGGTGCAAGTGTTCATGTTTGAACATACATGCCTTCACAAAAACACACGAACACGGGCAGCCTCAGCACGACCCCGTACAGAAACCTGACCGCTGTGATCCTGTCTCCCTCAGCTCCACAAAGACTCGACCAATGGGGTGCCAGAGTCCTCGTCAGAGCACCATGGGCCCAAAGTGTACGGTGTGGTGCAGAGGAAGGTCTCGGACAGACAGCAGGAGGTGATGGCACGGGAATGGACGGTCAATCACCTTCAAGATGAGATGAGGTACATCAGGGAGGTGAGTGGAGACAAACACCAGCACAGACGGGACATCAGTGTTTCACCACTGCGTGGACGACAGACGTGTGTGTTTCTGTTGACCTCTTTGTGCAGGTAAGGGATTCCTTGGAGAAGGTGAGGGAGAGGATGTACGGGCAGTTTGGAGGAATGCAGCAATCAGTGCAGAGGCTCTCACACGAACTCAGGGTAATGAATAATTCAGCCTCTTAATATACATACATAAGTCCATCATCATCAAAGTCCACCTGATGGAGCTTAGAGTCGTTGTGAAATAGCAGTTCCCCATGTTTTTTATTTTTTTACACAGACCTCTAATGCTCATCGGAGGAGTCTGGAGTCAGAGGTGAGGGTCAGGACAGCAGCCATGGACAGCTTTGATCAGATGAACAGCTCCCTCATATCTGCCAACATCAGCCTGCAGGTGACACATCAACATAGCTCAGCCTGTGAGAAGCTTTAGTGTGACAGCCAGAAAATACAGAAATGGTTTGATAGGTAAAAAAAAGATTCCCTCGCAGAAATCCCTGCTGGAGAACTGTCAGGACAGGATGGACTCCAGAGACAGTGTGAAGAACCTGCGAAGCAACTATGAGAAAACACAAGAAAAACTCCGAGACAAAGAGAGGGAGCTGGCTGCTGCAGAGGCTGAGAACCAGACTTTGAGACTTCAGGTCAGTTCCAGTACACACTCATAAATTCACACAGACCCACATTTGTTCATGATGACTGCAACATGACTGGAAAAACTGGCTCTGGTCTAATTATGCAGTTATGTGTTAAACAAGACGCATCAGCAGGTTCACACTTAAAGGTGGAATATGACTGTAATTTAAGAACATGTGCGTAAACATTAAGAACATTAGCTTTATATTGGAGCCCTGCAGGGGGAGCTATAAATCCAGTTTGTGTGTTCTGGTTCATAGGTTGATTGCATTGCTGTCATTCTGTTTATATCAATCACACACCAAAGCTTGTGGCACAATTTCACAGAATAAAACAATGTACTGTAGTACTACACAGATAGTACATGTATTCGGCTGTACCCAGCATTTTCACACCAGATCTTATCACTGCAGCATTACGGCACATCTGCTGCATCTGCGTCTTCTCCAGCTGCTTTACCAATCAGCAGAATTCACTTCTTACTTTTACTGTGCTCTCTGTCCAGGTGGAATCTTCGCGGGAGGCCAACGCCAAGGCGCTGCAGGAACTCTCTGAAAAGTTGCAGAAGGAGTATGAAGAAAAACTGCAAGAGGAACAGCAGAAACACAGAGAGGAGATTGAAAAACTGCAGGTCTTAGTTTTACACTGACTCAGATCAAATGTGATCCCAGTAATTAAAACACAAACCAACAAAGTGTCTCATACCATCACCTGGTACTTCATAGTCATGTCATAAATTCTGGATTGGCAAAAATGTAGGACGTTTGCCTGACATATGCCACGTTACATCTAAACCTGAACAAATGTATGAGTTTGCCTGACGTATGCCACGTTACATCTAAACCTGAACATTTTGTCCTGACGCAGGCCCAACTAGACGAGTACATCAGACGCCTGGAGGAAGCAGAGAGGAGCATCAGCACAGCAGAGGCCCAGATCAGTGAGAGGGACCAGAGGATCGTTGAACTGGAACGCCTCCTGGACTGTATGGGGAAGGTGAGTCTTCACATTTGTTTGTCCTTCTGCATCAACAAAGAGATTATGTCCATGTAAAATGATGTAGTCAAGCCATGGTACAATTGTGGATTTGGCATCATGTCAACAGGAAAAAGGTGACCTTCAAAAGAAACTTCAGGAATGTGAGCAGCGTTTGCGACTGCTGGAGTTGACGGACACAACAGATGCTGTTGTCACTAAAAGGTAAAATTTCCGCTGAGCCAATGCTTATCTTTGTTCTTCACACCAACAGAGATTTTCTTTTCTTTTATCAGGTGACTTCCTTTTGCACAGATGACAGATGACAGATGACATTTTGACAAATATTCTACATTGTAAAATTACATTACTAGACTCTATTTTCATACAAAAAAAGTGTGAGACTGAATAATATGAAAGACTGTTAAAAATTGAACATCATGTCAGTATTGTCACTGAGACTGGGTGAGCCACTAGATAAGGACATGTGATTTACAGCTGACCTCACAGCTCACACATCAAAACACACACATGGTCTCAACAATGGTCTCATCCTCCAGCACAGAAATTCAAATAATATATATATCTGTATGAGACTGACTGATGTGCTGTCTGTGTTTAGGACCAAACAGCTTCAAAGCGAAGCAGGTGATCTCCGCGAGAGAATCAAACATTTGAACGATATGGTTTTCTGCCAGCAGAGGAAAGTCAAAGGAATGATCGAGGAGGTGAGAGGAGTTGGTTTATCTGTGTGTGTCATCTCTTCCACCTTGTGTTTTGACAATAGGTGTGGATGAAAACCTCAGCAGTGTACACAGGGAAGATTCAACTTCAGGATACGGAATTCAGGAATAACATTGTTGTGTTTACGGCAAGAATCCCTCTCCCTACTGTTTAGAGCACAGGTGTCAAACACAAGGGCCGCGGGCCAATTCTGGCCCTCCACAGAGTTTTATGTTGCCCACCTGACTTTAACATGCATATGGTTGTTTTAAAATAAATGTCTACAGTAAAGATTTAGAGAGTAGAGATTTTAATGATTACTGGATGGATTAAATGCAGTAATCTGATTGTGTGGATAATATGGACATGTTGAGTAATATACAGTTATAATTCTCCATACATAGCTTACATTTACTATAAACTACTCTCCCATATTGAAGCAGCTTGGCCTTACCAACCAACAACATTTGACTAATCCAGTTTTGAATTGAGAAACCCCTGTTTTGGTATTTTGAGTCAGTGGAATATTCTTCTTCATATGAGTAACATTACTATTATTTTGCTTGATGTTATATTTTGATAATATTTTGAATTACATTTTTTTTTATTGTGGAAAAAGCAGTCTGGTCAAATTTAATATTTCTGGTTGTCTTTTGTTTTGTATTTGTCAAGGTTCAATCTCTGAGAGCTCAGGTGGCCCAGAAAGACATGTTCATCTCAGAGCTCCTCGACAGAATTGCGATTGTGGAGTGTGAGGTAAGACAAATGATAGGCTACTTTTTTGAGTATATTTTTGTATTTTTGGTGTGGTGTGGTTATCTGCTGCAACTCTAAAGAGCAACCTGTCCTCATCTTTACACAATGCTTGTGTGGTTTTGTTATGGTACCTATCAGGCCTCTGTCACACCAGACGGGACTGTAATCTATTGCATGTATCTGATCTGACAGTGTTGTTTCCTCTTTTCCTTTTCCTAGAATAATGAATTAGAAGACAAGCTCAAGTATTTTATGTCCTCACAGAATAGGCCGCAAGAGATTTTGGAAACCAGGGAAATCAGCATAGGTTGCGATCTGCCTCACAGGTAAAACACAAAGCTGGAGAGACTCATAGTATCATATAGTAACACTAGCTTGTTGTTGTTTCTCCCACTGACGTCTTACTGTGCATCTGCAGATATGAATTACTGAGTTATGATGTTGACGCACCTCATCTTCATCCCTTGCAACTGTCACCATCTGTTCAGCCAATAATTCCAAAGAAACCTTCATCGCCATCACAGTCTTCATCATCCACCTTACTTCTGTCAATTGCACAACCTTTTCCGCCATCACAATCTCTATCGTCCACCAATCCTCTGTCACCAACTCAATCTCTGTCTCCTGCACAAATACTGCCGTCCACCCAGCCTCTGCCATCCAACAATCCTCCTACATCCAACCACCCTATGTCATCCACTCTGCCGCCGTTGTCGCCCATACAGTCTTTATCACCCACGCCGTCTTTATCGCCTACACAATCTCTGTCACCCACATTATCTATGTCACCCACACCTATGTCACCCACATTATCTATGTCGCCCACACCTCTGTCACCCACACTGTGCCTATCACCTCCACAGCCTCTGTCACCCACACAAACTCTGCCCTTCACTCAAACTTCACCTCATTCATCTCCCATTCAGTTCCCGTCCCGGTATCTGTCATTGCCCACCCAACCAAGGACTTTCAGGCCTGGTAACCCTCCACCCAGCAGGTTGGAGTCCAGCTTACTCAGGTACACTCCTATTCAATACAGTCGCCTCCTGCAGTCCAACTCCTCACCATTAAACACATCATTCTCTTACACCCCCCCATCTGCACCTGAGCATTCTGCAAACCTGGTCCAGACTGGAGTAGATGAAGTGGATTCAGGACCAAACACCTCTGTAAACTCAAACCTGGAGGAATCGGCTTCATTCTCATCACTTTATCTGCCCAGATCTAGAGCACCTCAGGTTTCTACGCCATTTATGAAGTTAATGGAAACGACAGCGCAGATAAACATAGACGATTCATCTGAGTAGTATTAAAGTAAGACAAACGTTACTACTGCTGTACAACAGCACCCTCTACAGTTACATGTGTCTTAAATCTCTCGAACTCAAAGCCTGTCTTTTACCAGGTGATGCAGGTGTGTTTCCGTTCAATGAACTGAAACCTTCAGGTTCTATCTTTTATAACACAAAAAATATGTGAAAGGAAATTAATATATCGATACAATATCATCGGTTCTTTTCTGCTATGATTTTTCTGAAAAGGATCATGTGTGTAAAAATTGCATTTACGTTATTTTGTAAATAATGTATCAAAGGATTCTATTTGTTTTGTCTTCAGCGAATGTAGCTGAAGACACCACCATGCTCAATGAGCTATAATGTGTATGGGGATACTATGCGTGTATCATTTTTATTTGATTTGTACAAATGAAATGGAAATTATTTTGTTATTTTCACATTATGTATATAATATTTATTGAGATTATTTGTGCCTTGTTTGGTGAACAGCATAATATCCGACACTGGTGGTGGAATTCAATCTCCCTCAATTGACGACATGGTAACAGAATTCACTGGCATTTCTGTGCTAATGACTCAAACTTCCTTAACTTTAAACCTATTAACATGAATAAGGTAACTGCCATTCCTGAGCCACTGGCACTAGTATTATCCAGCTGTCGTCTGTGCTGCCACAAATGTGATTAAAAAATACTTTATATTAACGTGCCTTTTACTTTAAATTTACATATCAAACTACAAATGATGCAAAGAGGCCATTAAATGTTGGCTAATAAAGACTATACTGGAAATATTCTGACTGTGTCTTCTGTGTATGTGTGTGTATTATATATGTGTGTGTGTGTGT